AAGAATAGGACACACAAATCTAACTCATTTATATCTCATCACTAAGCAGTCCCCATCAATTTGTCAACACTGCAATAACAAATCAAACATAAAAACAGTAATAAATTTTCTTAAAATCCATATGCTATTAAATAAAATATAGAAATAAATATAATTTTTATTTTATTGTCCTTTTTTTTATTTTTTTTTATATATTTCATTTTTCATATGTTTTTAAAATATCTTTTTCATTTATTATTCTACTATATATTATTAATTTTTGATTATACATTCTTTTTTTTTTTTCTTTCTTCTAAAGATTTTACAAATATAACCGACTCACAGGCTTTGATGACCCTAGGGATATAGTCCTTGAAGCCTAAACAAACAAACAAACTTCCCCATACTATATATTACATATATACCGATGTGAAAGTAAAAATAAGACAGATGTGTTTGAAACCAGTGGTCAATAGCTTGATAGTTGGCGTGCATAGATTTTCACCGTCCAAACGTAAATGCTTACAAACGTAATTTAGGCTTTCCAGACCGCGACGGTATTTCCTTTGTTCAAGCTATCAGTCCTTGTCCTTTCATGATAGTTTTAACCTGTTTACGGCTTAGGTTTTTTCGAAACTTTTCTCAGTATTACCGAGAATTAACCAAATATTATTTGCGTGTAGAAACATGCCTGACTCATACGTTTAACTCCGAAGAGTTACATATAAAGAGTTTTGTTTTATTTTAGAATAGCTTAAGGGGCCATTGCTTTATATATCTTTTGCTTTTTTGAATTTTTTTTTAGTAAAAGTAAATTTAAAAAAGTAAATTAAGACAAAAATGCTAATTAAAAGCTTAATTAAAATAAATCTTTTACAATTTAAAAATAATTAAAATTATTTTTTTATTTTATAATTTTATGGTAATTTTAAGTACGATTTAATAGATAGTCTTATTTTTCAATTTTTTTTTTATGGGGTCCTACCAAACCATCGAATTCCTAACGTATCCAATCATTAGAATCCAAAATCCTTAATGCCCCATATTTTGTCACAAATAAAATCATTCATTAAGACCTTAATGCTCCATATGCCGCTGATTTAGCCCGAGCCAGATACCTATCCTTTCATCATAAACTCCAGTCCCATCCGAATCCACTTGTTTCCAGCCTTGCTTCTTCCTCGATTCCTGATAATTCCCCTAGGCGTCTGAAAAGAAGATGATCTCGTGATCTTCTCACGTAGAATTAAATAGGGAGTGCTACCACTGGGCAGTATCTCTTCAAGTCTGTTCATTTCATGATTTCTAATGTGTGCATTTCTACTAGTTATATTGTTTACACAGTTGTAAATTTCATTATATAAATAAATAAATAAAATAAAACAATGTTTAGAAACTAGCAGCGTGTCAAAGTTCTAACTACAGAGAACCTCTGAAAGTAAATTGTTAGAGAAGATTCTAACTGCAATACCACAAAAGCCATGTAGTTGATTTATAGTTTTTTTTATGACCGTCAAAAATGAAATTTATTATTTATTTATTTACATATTTGAATCGGTTGTTTCAGAAACGGCATATATAATATTTTCAGGAAAACCGTGAAAACTATATTATACTAAAATTTTAGAAGAGAAAAATATTTAGTGATTACGAACAAATTTTATATTAGTTATGTTAGTTTAAGTAATGAATATATAATTTGATAATCAGAAATTTTTTTTTTGAAAATTTTACTCTGGTATTGTTATTGTAAAAAAACATATTCGTATAATTATATGTCAAATTCGTATAATTATAAGTAACTGGCAATGATTTAAAAGTAGAGTATTGATTCTTAAATAAATAACCTTTATTTCATTTAACTTAAAAAATACAGTACTTAATAATTTTAATTATTTTGGCTTTTCGATTCTTCTCACCCTCCATGTTATGTAAAACAGTGAACAATTATGAAATTGATATAGTTTATTCCTCTTTATGATTGGAACGTGTGATATGAATTTGATTACCGAGACAACTGATTCTATTAATTATAGTGCACTAAATATTGCTCTGAGTAGGTTATGATGTTGAAATTTTCTTTTTATATTGTGACATATTTTAGTTGAAACGATTAGTACCCATTACTTATTTCACTAATTATTTACAACTTATACCATAATCATAAATTGTATAACTAATTTCAAAACTGCTATCAACTTCGCATTTAACAGGAATCTGTAAGAGAGGAGTTACATGATCTATGTTTCATGATGTATAAATTGGGCTTGATGGATCCAACGATTCCGGAGATGAAGTGTGTAATGAAGAGTTCATGATAGTCCATTACCGCCGGGACTTTAGACGGTAGTTTCTGGTGACCGTGTTACTCAACGATGACAGATAAAGTGTTGTATGAGCTTATGTTATACCTTGGTATGAGTCTATTGCAAGTGTATGCTTATGTAATTGATCCTATATCGTGTCTGATTTTTTTAGATCCATCTTACGTTGAACGCAAGTCATATGATCAATAATGTATGGTTGAAATGACAAAGGAATAAAAATATACTTAGGCATTACACATATTATTAGTAATTCTTTATGCTGTTTAAGTAAATATTAATTTTCATTAGAAACAACATAAAAGCGATTAAAATATAGGTAAAGATTAGGCTGGTGTAAGTAATTGTGTTAATGCTATAGTGACACTTATTGAAGATCCCAGATGAATAAATTAACTAAAATATTAAATCGTTAAATAAAAGAAATATTTATATTTCTTTGAATATCGGTCGATGTTTTCGTAAATGTCAAAATCTAACTGTGTTTATTAAAGTTTTTGAGGACATGATGAAGAAATACACGTTATGTGGCAACTTAGTCGAAATAAATGAGGGAGTTTCGAAAGCACGATTCGTGTCTATTTTGACTTCAAAACTTTTATAAAATAATTATTTTTCTTGTATGTTTTTTGATTTCAGATAATAAATAAATGACTCAACAATTCACCCACAAATATTGGTCAATTCAGTTAATAAATTATGGCTTAATACTATCTTCTTGAACCTCACGGTCAATTGATGGGATATTAGACGTTAGATTTTAGAATTTATTGTTGTTTTGTATAAACAAGTAGTAACACCAATAAATTCCAGTTCAACTTTTTCTCTACCCGGACTATCCGAAATATTTCAGGTTATAGTTGGGTGGCGTTATTGGCGTTATGGCGTTGGTGGTTATAAGTTTAAGTTAATCATTTAGTTATCGGTTCTTGAAAATAACAATTTTATGTATGGTTTAGTCATACTGGTTTCCTTTTTAATTAATTTATTTATTATATCACAGTATTTAATAGTTACTAGCTTTAGTGTTTATTTTTTTTTCTTTCAATTTCCTTATTCACATCTGTATTTTCTGTCTCCATTTCATCACAGTAATAGCGTCTTATTTATTGGACAAAGATTGTTCGAGTTGGAAATAATTTTAGATTTTCTTTTGAATATAAATCGTCATTAGATTATTTCCTATAATGAGCCTTAGTTATCAGAAAGAGGGGGAGGGGAGATAAGCCAACACAAGTCTGTCTGAATCGAATGTATTTTTTTTCAGATTTGGAATCTTAGTCAAAGGTCATCCCAGCAAGCAATTGCCATAACTATAAAAATTATGGCTATGAAATTTAAGCCATGATGAAGGATAGTACTCAGAAGCACCTCTTCTCGATCTTGATTCAGTCCCTGAATTCAGGCAATGAGATCTCACATGCACCAAATATACGGGACCCTTTAATTCTCGCCAATTCAATCTCTTCCAATCCATTCAGTACTCAAAAAACTGTGAATAAGTTTTTTTTTGTAAATATGTATATACATTATTCATTCGTTTTTAGTTTTTATTGTTTCACGTTTCTTTGATTTTTTAAAACCTTTTAATGCTTGAAGTTACCCTATAATGTTTGTTAAATATTTGATGGTTGGCCGTTGCATGATAAAGGAAGGAGATAGTCCGGGGTGGCGGTAATAAATAGGCTAAATAGTGGTAAAACTATTTTATTAAAAGCCAACGTTTCGACCCGACTTTGCAGGTCTTCTTCAGGGTTAGAACGAGCAAGATACAATTTCAACTAATATATTGTTCAACTAATATATGCAAATGTGAATATACTTCTACAGATCTACAGAAGAGATTGAAAGAAAAGGAAAAAGGATATAATATGAAATAATAGACATAAAAGAATCTGGAGAAAGAAAGAATTCTTTTCTTTCTCCACATTTCTCCACATATTATATATTACACTACAACAATTGTTACCATCTGTTTACTTCAGTTTAGGATCTTGTTACTTAGCTTACTCTGTTTATATTTTAATTTACTTACTGGTTATAATTTTAATAAGCTTATTCACATTGTTTATAATTTTTTTGTCTAAATATTATGTAACTACCACAATTCTTTATCTGTTTGTATCTTGTCCGTTCTAGCCCTGAAGAAGACCTGCAAAGTCGGGTCGAAACGTTGGCTTTTAATAAAATAGTTTTACCAGTACAAAGCCTATTTATGACCGCCACCCTGGACCGTATCCTTCCTTTATAATTTTTGTTATTTCTATTCGTTTATTTGCGATTTTTTTTTAAATAGCTCTCAAGTTCACAATTTTTTTTTTATTTTTTTTTATTCTAATGGAAAGGATCATAAAAAAAAAAAATTATATTACTATTATCATTCTCCTGAAGCCTGATATTTTTTTCCAATAGTGGGGGGAAAAGACTAGTTCGGAGTTTCCCTGGCAAATTGTAGGGATTTTTTGTTTCTTTATGCTATTTTATTTTGGTATTATTTCTATGTATTATATTGCTATTACATAATTTTTTAATAACATTCTCCGCAGATATGGTGTGAATATCAGAATCCCTAAAAGCTTTTAATTGAAACGGAATGTGATATTTCTCAGTAAATAAGTTAAAAAATAAATAAATAAAAACTATCATTATTATTGTATGGCTTAAACCCTTTGATAACACGGACTTGGTATTGTTACGATGGTGTTCGACCTTCCAGGTCGGGACCTAGGAAGACCCCTGAAGACCGAACGAAAGGGATGGTACGCCCCCCTACCAGAGAGTGGAGGTGGCGGGGACCAGAGCACTGTGCAGTACGTGAACAGCCGGGATATGGCCAACAGCTTCTTCTTAGCGGCCCTCCTCCTCGCCGTACCAGCCTTCGGCGGTGCCATCACCAACTCACAGGAGCTGGCCAGGTACCAGCACATAGCACAGGTAATTCACACATCTATCTTTCTAGGGTGAAGGGAAGTCAATAATATATAATTGCATCAACATTTATTTATCAAACATAACTATCTATATGTTGATGTTTTCTTAATCATTCTTGAAATTTTTTAATAGTATATATAATAAAAATATTATATACTCTATAAAAAATACAATATAATGAACGAAATGGCACATAACATATGTGTTATGGGTGACCATTATATTAAAAGAAAAAAGTTTACAAATTAATGAAAAAAACGTGGAAAAAATTGTTTTTAAAAAGCAATTTCGGTATTATAAAAAAAAAATCATTTATTACAAGGATTTCGGAAAGAATACAAACCCTTTAAATGGGATAAAATCGCTGAAGCGTTATTAAAATTTGATGACCCTGAAAAATTTCACGAAAAAAAAGTCTTTTATCCTAAAAATTATAATTGTGCTCAATTTTAAAAGGAGGAAAAATTAATTTTTTTATGAATGTAAATTTCTATTGTATGGATGTCTAGCTTTTATTTTATTTTTTTTTGTTCACACTTGGTATATAAAGAGAGGCTTGAATGTAATATATATATATTTTAGATTTGACAAGAATTTAAATAAGGCGTGAGATATATCTGAAAACGTTAATAAAGTATGCAAAAAATATTGTTATAATTACTTAACAGCTTTTACTAAATATCTGAAGAGGTGAGATTTATCATAAAATTATAATTCAAGAGGATATTTAACATAAAAACAAAATTTAAAAATTGTATATATGGGCCTCTTTAAAAGTTTAATAAAATAAATAAAATTAAATGATTTTTTGAGATCATGTGGAAAGGGCGAGATTCAGGAAATTGAAACCAAGTTATTGGCATTTCTTAAAATATATTTTGGGTTGAGAAAAATCTGAAAATGATAAAGCAATTAAAATTTTGAACAATTTTGTTTCTCTAATTACCATGCTTTCACCAATCTAAATAGTAGTCGATGTTGTATCTTCTTGCTGAATGAAATGGGTATGTTCAAGGATTCAGAGCGCATTCATATTTTACAATTAACTTTTGTATTTCTTTACTTTTTTTTTTTAAATATTACTATTTATTTTTATTAAATGGTATATAAAACTACTAAAAATACTGAATTATTAAATAAAAGTGTTAGTATTGGACAACATTTGAATAGCAATGATGTATGTTTCTGATATGTTTAAATTCTTTTCTTGTCCCGTATTAGAGTTATTTCTGATTTATTTATCTTTTTGATAAATTAATTTAAAAGCTTTTGAATGAAACTAATTTTGTCGTTAGTAGCAAACGTTTAGTTGTATTAAGATCTGATAAAATGACAGTAATTAATTTATTATTTATTTCCTATAAATTATTCCTTATCTACTTGTTCACCTAATTAACTAATGGTAATTCAACAATTTGAGCTAAACGGACGTTTCTGCAACAGGTACTAAGTCTACACGTTAGTAGACTACGTGTAGTAGCCTATAATAGTAGCCTATTCGTTGAGAGGCCGTGCATGTCCTATATTGTGTGACTGATAAAGACCTAAATAATAAATCGATGACTGAGGGATATATCTGAAAATCTATAGTATATTCATAAATACCTCCTTCGATAACCCAGAAATGAATCTTGATATTGAAGAAATCCGATCAGCTATTGGTTATTTTTCACCATTATGAATATACTCATCATTTAAGGATATTTTAAATCATTTTCAAATACTGAAGTGAAAATCCCTTTTAACTGTCAGAATGGTTTTAGACTGAAAGACTTATAAAAAAAAAATTCGTTAGTGTAAAAAATCTATTAAAATTTAAAAAGGTTTTTACCTTTATTTGTTGTTATTCAAAACTTAGTTTTTGTAAGATATTCCTTTTTGCACCAAGTGGCTTCGAATGGGATTATTTTTCAACAATCGAAGATCACTTAAAAAAAAACCGCTTGGTATATGGTTTTCTGATCCTGATAATGAATACACGTTGGACAAACTATAGTGGTCTATTAATTAATTGTTATTATTAATTATTAATTAATTTATTTATAAATTAATAAATTTATATTTTTATTTTATTTCATTGTATAATTTATCGGAAGTAAATTAAACAGGAGGAAAAGAAAGTGGTTTACAGGTTCCTGCTTCTTATGCTGTCCGTTCATTTTTCGCTACCTATTTTGCATTCCTGACTGTACCTAAACTTGTTCCTTTAAAAGCCATAGAAACTTCATAAAGTCAACGGTACGAGTTTCCTTAAAACTTTAAGGCATATGTTTAATGTTCTGTAAGGTAATAATATTTAATCGAAATGTTTCAAATCTATAAAAAAAAATAATAGCTTTTTATTGGCAAACATAGTACGAAGTATGTATTTGAATACAGACAATTACTTATAATTTTAAATTTGGTTTCATAGACGAGCTCACTTAAAATATATTCTTGTTGCTACCCGTTTATCCACACAAGCTGGAGTGAAACTTGTTCGCCGACTTGAAATCCTCGGGAAAAATTCTTGAGAGGTCAGGAGAATGAGCTCGTTTTCCAGGTTCGTTAGCATCCAAGAAAGATTTTCTAGTTATACCGTCAAAACATTTTATAAACAAATCTTTAGTTTTAGTAATTGCTAAATTGTAATTATACTGTATTTTATTATTCATTTATTTATTTATATTATCACTGAGAAATAAAAGTATAGATGCCAAGGTAATCTTAAATCAGTTTTAAAACTCGTTAGACCACAAGTTTAAAAAAAAATGTAAAACTTGCCTAACGCTGCATACGGGCTCCCATACCAATTGGGAGGCTTTAGACCTGTGATTTTTGGTCTCGTAACAAAAGGAGATTATTGGTCAGTAGACAGGAATTGGTCTATAGACACGTCTACGTAGACAAACTGAGACATGTCTCAGAGGCTGAAATCGCGCAACATGTTTACTAGTGTGTGGACTAGGCTTAACGATCGATTTCTTACAATGTGATTCAAATTTTTAATTTTCTCCTATCAGATTAATGATACTTTGTTTAAAAATTACTCATGACTAGTGATATATTAAGCAGTTATGTATTTTTTCTTAGATGATATCAAGTAAAACACGTTTGCGCATATATTTTTATTTATTTATTATAATATACATATTCTTGACTTACAATAAATTTGCCATCTACCTCGGTATTCAGCAAATATGATATCAAGTAGAAGAAATGATAGCACAAAGAAAAAAATAATAGTAATAACAAAACAAAAAGACAAAAAAAAAAAAAAAAAAAAAACAGTAGTAAGATAACAGATAATAACACACAAACAAAAAAAAAAAGAAAAAAAAAGATATATGGATTTGTGGCAGTAGATAGAGCATGAGTAAGTGGATTGGAATTTAGAGTCAGTCTGTCATGAAAATTATTAAAGTGGTCAGTGGCAGTTGGCGTGATGAAAGGAATGTTAAGGTCAGTGTGTAACGTGAGGTTTGAAACGTAAAAAGGTGCGTCTACAATTTTCCGAAGGACTTTTGACTGGAATATATAAGACCAAATTCGCACATATAAGAGTAAATTCGGAATTCAATAAAATCTATACAAAATAATTATTTCATCAAAACCTACCTTTCTTTCAACTTTGGGCCAAATCGAACGAGCTGTTTCTGAAATATTAGTATACACAAGAATGTATGTTTACGATTGCGCAAGCGGAAGTGAAGAGTGGGATTTGATGAAATTGATATGGACCATCTACGAACCAACCACAATTGTGAACCAGGAACCAAAATAAATTGTTTTAAATCGGTAGGAAAGTAGTATGAGTGGGTATTCCAGATTTCATAATTAAATAATTGATATTGTATAGATATATTTAAATAATAACATTGTATAGAATGACTTTACTCTACAACTCTTCTTTTCTATCTAATGCGAGGGCCTATGACTATGTATCTTGACAATGCCTTAAATGTAGTCAATTTTATTAATTAAGATCTTACTATGTTCATGTCAATATAACATCTAAATGTACCTCTTCTGTCACATTTTTCTTAGATCTAAATTAACATGTTTAGTAAATAGCAATAAGCTAATACGTAACTGAAAGACTCTTGGGCAAGACCAAAACCGGGTGTGTTGACAATACCGTAGACAGAATAGGTCTTGATCTTGCGTTTGGGCAACAATACTAGTGAGGAAGCAAAAATAAAAAAAAGTAATATTGAATATTTTATAAATGACCGTTGCATTCTAAAGGAAGGAGATGGTCAGGGGTGGTGGTCATAAATAGGCTAAATAGTGACAAAACTATTTTTATTGGTAGCCGACGTTTCGACCCGACTTTGCAGGTCTTCTTCAGGTAGGTGTGTTCAGCTAGGGTTAAAACTTGAGTTTTAACCCGATGTTCATGGGTAAAGGTCGTAACGCAAATCATTTTTAAATTTCATTAAAAATGATTTAAAATCTTAGGATGATTAGGAGTCGTATGAAATAAAATCCGAGTACAACGACAAAATATTTTTTTTTAAAAACCTCTTTAAGGATTCAAGGCACTCGGAGAAATTGATATAATGTTATGTATAGGGAAACATTTTCGATTACAATTCTTCCTTCCTACTCACGCAAGTAAAACCGGTTGCCATGTTTACTTTGTAAAGTGAATCATTAATTGAAGAAGTAAAAGATGGATTAGATAGAGTGATTAGCATTGTAAAAATACCATTTATAATTAGTAATTATGCTCATTGTATTAACAAAAGTAAAATATATTAATGTTATTACATGCATGCATGTAAATCGTGCAACTGATTAGCAAATGAATGGAACACGTGATTACTTTTGGAGGCTTTATTTAATTTAACAATGTCTCTTTGATAATATTAATTAGGATACTTAATTACTTTTGCGAATTTCTATAATATTAACGAATCTAATGAAATAATCATTGAAAGTATTCGAATATAAATGAGGGAGGAAATTGGAAGTTGGGAGTTAAGGAAGACATGATTAAATGTTCTATTCATATTAAATCT